GCCAAGGCTTACTCCTTGCAACTGCCCTTGTCAGCGGCTGCTGCTAGTGCAACAAGCCTGTTACCCATCATGACCGCAGCGCAAATGTAGCTCGGCCTTCATGTGCGAAAGTAGCAACTTTCCTTCGATTTGCTCTAATACCCCTGGTCTGTCAACCTTCAGGTGCTTGGGCATAGCCACGTTGATGCTGTATGTGCCCATTGAGCTGGGGGTGGCGCATCAGGCCTCTTATGCATTCTGTTAGATTTTCTGGTTTTTGGTCAATCGTATTTTTTGAATTGAAGCAAATAAGTATGGGTGTGAACAGTTGTTGGTGCAGGCAGGAGGCGTTGCCGTGCTGACGGCGCAGCTATTCGTGCTACACACGCTTCGGACACCTCTGCGCATTGTCTGACTCTGCAGTGGCATCAATCGGCCATGCAGTCCTTACGAGCTGCTCCGATGTATGCCGTATCTCTTTGCCTTCCAGCAATGTGCTGTCAGAAAGGCTTCGTTCCTACAATTTTCAAGCGTCCTGCAGTGAACGCTGAGCCCAAGTTTCAAAAGAAGGAGCAGCACTAGTTTTGCTGACGATGTGCTGCAGTTTCATGCTCAATCCCGTAAACACTGCCCTCAAGCCATGCTCACATAGGCCATGCAATAGCAGAATACTACTGCTACAATTGACGATGAGAGGAGTGGCTCCGTCAGGTAGAGGCGGCTCTGCCTGTACCTTACGAAGCCGCCGATGTGAGCTGTTCTGAGCTGAGTGGGCTGAGTCCCTCTTGCACTGCTCTGGGTTCCACAGCACACTTAGCATATTCTGAAGTCGGCACACAGCCGCTGGGGTCCTCAACTATTTGCTGTGGACGTGGAAGCTAAAACAACCAGGGACCCCGTGAAATGGACGGGGATTACGGGGATTGGTCCAATTGTTTCCCGTCGCCTCTACAAGTAGTTACACTGATGATTCTTGTGGTCAAGGTTGTCATCCGCAGAGCTCTGCGTCTTGCCTGCGCTGCCAGGTGCTGATAGATGCTCCGACATCGTCTTCTTCGACAAAGCTTCTGACCTCGCCTTTAAGCCCATGGTGCCTTGCTCGTATTTTTGAGCAGGTTTTTCTTGAAGCCGACAGGGAGAGACCATGAACAGAGCAGGGCTTACGCAGCACCACTCTGGAACGCAGGCGGCAGAAAGCTGTCATGGTACTCTCAGGGGATCTTACCCACAGTCATGTTGGTAGGGAAGCAGACCAGACAAGTCTCGAAGGGCTCTGTGATTAGCATTGTTAGCATCGTTCGTTACAAAGCCCTGCTGTTTAGCACACCCAGATTGAGATGACTCTGATCAAGATGCAGCCTTCCAGCATTTCGACACATTTCGACACTTCCATTAGCTCAGGCAGAGCTACTTGATGGACAGCAGATGCTGCTTTTGCACTCTATCTGATCATCAGATTATGAGATGGCCTAGCGACAATACAAAAGAATACGTATCATGATGCGGCAGAAAATGGTAGAAGGGCAACCTGCCATCCTTGTGCGGAGTCTTGGAGGGGAATTTGATTTCCAATCACCAAGGCTCAACACCAGCACCACTAATATACACAATCCGCGACTCCCTTGTGTGGATTTGGATCCACTAGATCACTTGGCGCGAGGCAATCGTTTTTTGCTTGCAGGCTGTTAGCCACACAGGCTTTATCATCCAACCCTTGCTGACTTTTGCAGGCTTCTGTTTACCAGTCAGTATAGTTGCATGACATGCCAGTCGTAGTACTGTTGCAGTGAGGTCAATTCATGCAGCGCAACATCCACTACTGGTACCTCTCATGTGCTGGAACCTGAGGAGTAAGATCGAGATCAAACGCTGCTTGCATGTTTGCAGGGTTTTGCTATTGCTATTGCTATTGATGTACTCACCTTTGCCGCAATGACATCGCCAGTAGCAATCCGTTCAAGTACTTGGACTAGTGTGTTCCACTAGCTTTCTGCTGGGTCTGACACGCATCGCTTGCTGGTAAAGTGGAGTATACAGTTGTAACTGCATAAGACTTGTCTCACTGTGTGAACGCGACGGATATCTTTGGGCTGCTTGGTGCGCCAAAACACCGTTTCGCTTTGCAAAGGTCACCTTCGCCATTGATTACCCCCCAACTGCCGACAAGGTGCGGGCATTCTTTTGCATGGAAGAGCAGGCAGCGGCTGCAGAGGTTGCATTTGATGTAAATCAATGAGATCATGTTAAGGCTTGTCATATGCCAAGGGGTCTAGCACACTCGTGCAAATACGCAGCGTTTGTTTCCTGAGCACAGGTCGGTTGGTCCGGCGCATAGTGTGGCCGCAGCTGACAAAAATGTCAATTGGTTTGCTAAGCAACAGGCAACGTGCATCGTGTGCTTTCTTCATAACACTTTCACAGCTCAGCACTAATTAGATGCAGCAGACAGCACCCAAGGTTCGCCCAGCACAAGTCTGAGCCCGGCGATCGTGGCTGGCCACTCAGCACGCCAAAGGCGCGGAGGAGTGTTGCACAGCAGTTTTTTAAGCGGCAAGCTTTCTTGCTTTGGCTGGCATACTCCGTTCCAGACAGCTCACTCTGAGGCCTCTCCCATGCATGGGAACTGGGCAGCCAGGCTCGTTACCCGGGTGATGAGCCTTCTGCTAGAAGGGAAGTGAAAGAAATGGAGGAACCAGTGCCAAACGAATTCCAATCTTGATGGTCTCAGAGTTGCAAGCTCAAGAGGGGATGTCATCAATGAAAGCAAAGCTAGCAACCTTGGCGCAGGCCAAATGGCGGTTCCGTCGTGTTAATGAAGGCCTTCAGCACAGCGTCTCTTCATAGCACTGCCGCAGGACTACTTGTAATGCACACAGGATTAAGTGGGACGTGGTGCTTACATGACTACCCGTCTAGTTCACAAAGAAGGCCTGCTGTAGGTAAGAGTCAGCGAGGGCAGATCAGAGATCATGATAGCATTCTGAATCTGACATGGAGCGAACATTCCTCCCTTTTTTGGTTGTATTCCCCAACTTGCGGTGGCTATTGTGCATGGAGCCACTACATCTCCCCAGGACCCAAGAAGAAAGAGCTACTTCGTGTGCTCCTCAGACTCAGCTGTTTATGGGAACATGGCTGCGTTTGGCTACGCCACTTGTTCTGCCTAGCCAAGGACTCTGAAGCTGAGATTCATGCGTGAGTAGGCTCAACAAGGCGCAGGCCCTCAATCTGTGCAGCTTCATGCTGCAACTTTTCGTCTAGTTTTTACAGCGGATTTGCAGACATGTTGCATTGCTAAAAAAGACCATACGTATCTCTATCCTTTTCGGTATCCGCCGATGGAAGCAAGGTAAGCCTCAAGCATGTCATCACAACATGCAGAAAACAGTTCTGACTGGGCTGCTTAAGTGCAGCTCGGGTCAGCCGTAGAAAGAGCTCGCTTTGGACAGAGGCACAAGCACTCAAAGCCGCCTGCAGACACAAATGATTCAAAAAGGAAGATGTTGGCAGGATTGAGTGGTTCCCAGCCCTGACAGGATATGAGGTTGAGGCAGGTCGAGGTCAACTCAAAGTAGGCACACAGGATTGAGCCTCGACAGAGAACACTGTTTGAGAGCAATTTGACATCTGCCAACACATCAGATATGAGAAGGTGTTTGTGGATTGAAGGAAAAGGTCTAGATGTGGACTGCAGTTCAATCTACAAGTCTATTGTGGTATTGATTTGGACAATGATTGTTTTCCTACGCATCCGATATTGCCTGATCGCTTTAGCTGAGATACTGCCACTCTCAAGACATGTCGGCCTCGCTCGTGCTCTCGGTCTCTTCTGTGAGTGGCGGCTGCCGAGAGCTAAGGGCAGGCTTCGAAGGCTAAAATCTTCGTGACAGCTACGCAAGGCCATGCACATCCAACGACCGCGTCCTGTTTTTCCCAACAGCAAGCTGCAGCGCCTCTGCTGTACCGGTGAGAACGATTGCTGACATTTTCGGCTCTTAGGGAGAACAACCGGAGATGTAGGAAGCAAGCTTATTGACAACACCAGTCAGAAGCCAGGTTCTGCAGTATGTACCCTGTCGGTGCACGTAGCCGTGACAACATCAGGAAGTTCTTAGGCCTAGTCACTTTCTGCACACGATCTCAACAGGAGGCAACACACCGCAGTGCAACTGTTTAGGATATTCTTGAAAACATGGAAGCTGGCACGACCAGACAGACATGTTTGTTCCAGCGGTTGCTCCTTTGTGCCGAGGCCTTCTGGCGGCACGCAGAACACATGTACCTTCATCGGCTCACTTGTTGGGGACAGACAAGTTCACGTCTCACCCCGGCTTTCTCAACCCATCACTCATGGCCTGTGATTCATTCATCCCATGCAAGAATAGCAGAGATTCTCAACAGCACTCCTTTCAAAAAGCTTGTGTATGCTTCGTTCAGGGACCAGCTGAGGCCAGCTTCATCGTGATATTGTTGCTGCTGCTGGTCAATCTGAGTGCCTTGGCGGGATACACCTCGCAGGCTGGGCTGGCACTGGTCTGTCTGCTTAGTAGTAGCTTACAAGCTGCTGCCAGTAAAGCAGATGCTACCGTACAGGCTTCAGACTCAGAATAGCTGAGCTCCTCAGTGACGCCAATGATCATCGTCACGACAATCAAGATTCTGTGAGTGTCTTCTGTGGGGCAGCTGATGCTTTCATGTTGCTTGGAAGGACATGACGCGCAGTGGTGTCCCCCCTGCTGAACAGGCCAGGCGCTTTCTTTGGACTTTCGTACATCACCCGCATCCATTGCTGTTTTTCCGCGTGTGCCGTGGGCGAGGAGCGCCAGCAGCGCGCCAGCTAGTGATAACTTTGCATGATTCAAAGTAGCTCCAAATTCAAGCCTAGACAGCATCCAGAGCACCTCCGTTTGAAGTGCGGCCGTCGGATGCTAGACCTCATTGCAGCTGATCACTCAAGCAACTAGCAACATGGACTCTTTTTCATGTGCTTGGTGCAGGTTGTGTGGAATTTTCAGAAGGCGATGCGGTGCTTCCTCGTGGTTCTTTGCTTCCGTGCCGGGTTTCTTCACCGTCAGAAGCTTTTCGACGGTGATGCCCATAAGTGGCCTAATCTTGTGTCTCGGCTGCGATGGTGCCCTGGTGCTGGTGCATTCAGATCTTTTGAGCCTGCCGTGTAGGCTCAAAAAATGTTTTTGGGGCAAATACTGCAGCGATTGGAATAAGCGCAAAGGTGGTCATCAGCCAACCCAGCAGCTTCCTACTGCATGGTTCTGTGAGCATCAGATGTGTGCAAATGTTGGACCGAAGGGTTGCAGAACATAGCTTGATATGCTTGATGGCAAGATTGCATTCTCGACCAAGTGCCTGCGACAGACGCCCCCTTACAGACCGTCTTGGGCTGCCCAGGTCTTTACCCGGCTAAGCCAAGAACTTTGGCTTCTTCCATCAGACGAGGATACACAGACCACAGATATCCACAGATTCGTCGGGTGTACAAGCAAGAAAGCAGACATTTTTGCCATTGCGTCCGACTCAGCTCACAAAGTTGTTGGAAGATCAGTATCAGCGCATGTCTCCAAAATACATGATGCAGGACAGCGATGTCGTATACCGTCGGTACGTTTGCCTGGCGTTAGTGGTACTGGGTCGAGCAGTGCTTGGCACAGTCTTCCTGGCGACGCTTTGAAGCTTTCATCCTTGTTCATCCACTCGGCCCCAGCAAGAGGTTGAAATCAAATTCTTCACATCATTACCATTCAAATGAGGCCATCTTGCCATCTTGCACAAGTGACCCATGGACCATTGGACAGCAAACCACGACAGGTCCGGAGCGCCATCAAATTCTATGCCCACATGACCAATGAGGAGTGTGTTCTATCAAAATGAGGGGCGCCTTTCTGCTGGGGCAATGTCCATGCAGTTGTACGGTTTGTCCAGATTGACGTTTCTTTACTGGATGTCTTCTTTTGCCAGAATCCTCTTGCTTGGGGTTTTGCCGTATGGCCAGGAGAAGGGTGAGGACAAGTCCGAGGATGGCCGGATATGCTCCGGCATGTTCATCAATTGGCCACTTGGCAAGCATTTTCAGGCATCACTTTGCATGGACTGGCGTGAAACATATCTCTGCTTTGGCATAGCTGTTGGGGAGCGCAGGACGATCTTTCTGCTGGACATCACTACAAACTGCGGGTTTCTGCTTGGCTTCCGAGCCGGGCGACACTACTTTGCTGCAGCGAAGCAGGCGTTTCGGGGTGGCCTGATATGTGAATGTAACATAATCCGCAAAAAGGCCTTTGTTCCACTTTCAACCTTTGGCTTTGGCTCCTGGCCTGCGAACATGGATGCAACCATTTGGTGATTGGTGTCTTGCAGACGATTCCCTTGCGATTCCTTCTGCACTTTCCGAATGCGTATGCGTTGTAACTAAACAGAACGAAGTAAAGAACTGGGGTCCCTGGGGTCCCAAAGCTCTAGGATCTGTAGCCAAGATGTATCAAGTTCATCTGCGGCTCGCTGAGCAGCTCGTGCGTGCTTAGATTGGGATACCTGCCCATACCAGACTGGATGCCTCTGCGAGGCATTCCCGGATGAGTCGGACAGCGCTCCTGAGCTGACCAGCAATGGCGAGGAGTGGTGGAAGGGTCAGCATGCAGGGAAATCTAAGACAGCTTTGCCAAAGTGTCCTATCGCATGGTTCTCATGCATGTGAGTGAAGCGGTTTTGCGATTCTAGTGAAGTCCGCCATTCAAATGTTGGATTGCTGATTTGTAGCATTTGCTTCAACAACGCTAGTGGTGGTGTTCGCAGACCACGACAGCCTGGCATCAGGACAGTGCCGAATCTAGACATCAGCCCAGTGGCCAGGTGCTTAACGCTTTTGACGCCACAGCTTAGGGGCGTTTGCATACTGTCCCAGGCCACGCCTAGATTTTTCAAAGCCAAGGGGCCAAGGTATTTCAGGGGGTCCTTTTCAGGGATAGTTTCGACACGTGCGTTCCAGCCAGCTTCATCGAATGTTTGCATAGCCAGCAGCTGAGCCCAAAACGGTATTTCCGATCTTTCAGCTGCGAGTGTGTGTAAGGTATGCCTTAAGGAAAGCCATTTTCCTCACCCACTTGTGGAGTTTCTGAAGAATCTGTGAGTTTTGTTTGTTTGATGCGGTTCTTCTGGGCCAGCTTTGCTTCCGGCTCTTCAAGAAGCCCGTCTTTCAGGCGAGGAGCGCCCGCTGCCAGGAAGGAGAAGGCAGTCGCGCGCCCGACTGACTGGGCCGTTGTTGAGTTATTGCCACCACATGAAAGAGTCATCCTCTGTGCAAAAAGACAATCGCAATCAAGAAGTTATTCGTTCAGACCCCCCAAAAAAGTGTTGGACTTTTGCAGTGCTCCTTTTCTTGCATCCTTGAGAAGCAGCCGAGTAATGCGCAGGCTCCCCATGGAGGTGCCTCCGCTGCGGCGGCCCTCGGCTGTACAGCGTCGAGTGAGGAGTCGAGCAGCAGGGACCCGAGAGGTATCCAGAGCTAGATGCAAGAAGAGACCTTGCTGTACGTCGCAGTAACAGCAAATGGCCTTGTAGCCGATGTGGAATGGAATAACGGGATCAGCAGACTGTCAAGTGACCCTTACTTTGAGGTTGGCACCGGAGATGACCACAATGACAAGTTGGAAGATGAGGCAGAACACGTACGTGCAGAACAAGCCGACTTTCAACAACGAACTGCGCCCATGCTGGCGGGGTTTTCTTTCGTGACACCGCTGTGTGGCTGCGACACCCTTTACAGATCTAAGTCATCCATCCTGTTTTCAAAACTTGCGATGCTGGTGTAATTTTGCAGGATGCACAGCTGTCGCCAAAGAAGTGCCAGCTGCCTCGAAAGGAGATGTGCTGCTGGGCTGCAAGCGGATCTTCGCCTTGGGGGCTAGCTGCTAGTTGCTAGTTCTTTCCCATGTTGAAGCCAAAGTCCAGCACGCAAGCAGGCTGGTATTTCGATTGGCACAGCTCAAGCAACACAAGAATGTGTTTGAGAGCAGATGCCTGCCAAAGATTTCACGTCATAGCTCGATGGTACTTGTATTTCTCAGGCTTGCAGGCCATGTGCAAAGGGGAGAAGGCCGGGGAAGCCTGGCTAAGCTTTTCAGCACGGCGCAGGTAGTTATCAGCGATTGAATTGACTTTCCTGTTCAGCTTTGTTTCGTGAAATTCGGAAGACACAGGCAAAGCAGTGTCCTGGCGCACGCAGGTGGATCACGGGCCAATCTTCACCTGTTATGCGAGATGGACCTTGCTGGGCCTCCTTGTAGCACGCGCCCCAGTTGCCATGATTGAATCTCTAGTGCGAGTGCCGCCTCGGTGGTGAAGTGGGGGTGGGGTTTGGAGCAGATGCTCCGGCCTCGGCGCATTGACGCTGTGTTTAGCTGTCCCATGCGTCCCATGCAAAATGGCAGGCAAATCTCTATTCAGCCTTGGTTGCTGAGCCTGACAGGGTGCTGGTAGCAGGTTTGATGATCCACTTCATTGATCCAGGAGTTGCATGCTTGGAATCAGGCTATGTTCTGTCTACCCGTGACAGGGTTGAGATTGCAAGCCTTTTTTCCTAGAAAGCCGAGATTCCCAATTGGCTGTCGAGTTTTTCTGAGCTTGCCAGACCTCCGCCATCGAATGCCTTCTCCTGTCCTACTGGGAGGTTGGATGCGGCAGTTTCGGTGTAGAGATTTAGCAGCATCCCTGAAGTCGACGTTGCTTGTACAGCATTTGGCAGAAGAGTTGAGAGTTATGCCCACGCGCAAGGTATCAGATTCCTCGTCCAATCATGGAAGCATCGCGCCTTTCACTAGCATAGTACCCCTGAAGCAGAAAGAGTGTGAGGAGGCTGTGTATGGCAATTACGTGACTGTCAAAGGACTCGAAGGCCTGGGAGCTCCATGGCAACTGGCCAAGACAGTCGCTGACGAAGCCTCTGGCATTGCACTCCGAGCATTTCTCCTGGACAACTCCGGATCAACAAGCGCATCAGATGGTCATGTGCTCCGAAGCGACCATCTGGGGCGCACCACCTCTCTTCCAGCAACTCGTTGGGAAGAGATCTGTGCCACGGCGATAGAGCAGGCTGAGTGGAACTTCTTCGCAGGAATTTCTACAGAGTTCCACCTGCTCAATCCAGGCCCTGGAAAGATCCAAGAGGGCAGGGACTTCGTGACCATCTCAGTTGATGGAGATCGCGCGCAGCTGCAGACACTGCAAACCATGCTACAACGGAATGGACCCCACGGCACGACGCCTCTTGCTGCTCGTCTGCGGGACCTAAAGCGCAGATTTCAAGGACAGGCGCAGCATGGGCGAGTTATGCTGTCCGTGGTGACAGATGGCGTTCCCACCTCCGACGGCTTTGGAACGGGGAAGGATGACTTTGTTCAGCAGCTGAGGGAGTTTGCCACAGGCCTGAATGCCTTCGTGGTCATCCGGCTTGCAACTGATGATGACTCAGTTGTTTCCTACTACAACCGTATTGACGAAGAGCTCGAGTTACCTCTGGATATCCTGGACGATTTGAAGGGTGAGGCTCAGGAGCTGCATGCTTGCGGCAATGGTTGGTTTGCCTACACTCCGATCTTGCATCGCATTCGTGAAGGAGGCAGCCTTCAGAAGATTTTCGATTTGCTGGATGAACGAGCCCTTGGAGTGGCAGAGATCAGCGTCCTGTTGGAGCTCCTTCTCAGGGGCCCAGAGGATCCTCCCTTTCCACGTCAGCCGGAGGAGTTGTATGCTGTGGCTGCTCAGAAAGTCACTGAAGCTCCTCCGGTCTTCAATGGGCGGCTGAACCGGATGACAGACCCGATCGACCTGAAAATGCTGAAAAAGGCTCTGAAACTCTCTCCTTGGTGCCGTCTGCAAACCTTGGTGCTCCGAAATTTGATCTGCAGCTCAAAGGCGCTGCCATGAGTTTTTAGTGATCTTAGTGTGTACAGTTGACAGCTGAGGATGGGGTCTGCTAAGGCCAGACTTGCAAACTCCTCGCTTGCATTCGTCACGGGAGAGCATCTCGCTTATGATGCCGTAGCTAGTCTTGTCGTTTCTTACACTGCTTGCTTACGAGGCCGACTTGTACAGTGATGCGAGTCTCGTATCGCGCAGATGTTGGTTGGAACAAGCTTGCGCAGTGGTTTCCTCCTTTGACAGCCAACCTGCATGATGGTGCAAGAGGGTCGCTCACGATGTCGACTGGCCTCCTGCACAGGCTGCGCTTCTTGGCAATCGGGATGATGAGGCCGTTTCATGCCTTGGCTGCGTTTTGTTTGATCAAGGAGTGTTTTTTGGCGTGAAGTCTTTAGCCACTTCAGTCTTTGATTGCATGGGTTGACCCTCTTGAGCAGGTGGATGTTTTCCGAATGCGGCCGCTGCCTCATGGTTCTAGAAAGTTCCAGAGATTTTCTCGTATGCAGAACCAGGACAGGAGTGCGGCTTGAAAGAGATGTCAATCCATGAGTCTCCTGCTTTTTTCACAAGCGTTCCTACACAAGAGTAACCTCCAGCGGATGCATTGGGTGCCGGGTCCCTTCAGCTGAGGCCATACTTTTTCTCCTGGACTCCAGACTTCGGAAGATGGCGGCTGCGCAGGGTGGTTCTCGGCAGCTGGCGAGATCTCTTCTATTTTGCGCCAGGGCCTCCAGACAATTTCAAGCAGAGTGAGGGGCAGCATAGGGCTAGGGGAGACCAAGAGTTATTTGGACCTGAGCAGATTCGATGCCAAGGATTCTTTATCCTGCGACGACCACGGCCGGGTCTCCCTGCCAGTGATGTAATCTGGTGACCCGATTGCTCACAGATTCAAGCTCTTGCCTGCTGCTAATGGTATCTCAGTCGGACGTTTGACATGTGACATGTTCTTGTGTGAGGCCCTCCTTCTTGGAGCTGTCCTGGCTCATCATTTTGCCACGGGCAGGCAGAGCCTCTTAGCATGGAGCGCAGCAAGCATCTCTCAAATCTTGCCAGGCTTAGCCTCTTTGACGGTGTCTTGCACAGGGCCGTTATGACGGTCATGTCGGGTACCCAGTTCCGGAAAGCTTCGCCCCCAAAGCGATGCGTCTTCGGATCGACGAACTGAAAGCCGGAAGTCTCGGCCAGGTCCTACGCCACTCTCCTTGGGTCGCAGCGGGCGTACTTTGTCCGATCCACAGATTACGAAAGAGGGATGAGCTTCGTGCCTGCACGCGAAGCAGACATTTGCAACCCCAGCCAGTCATCCCCCAAAGCCCAGCCTAAATCTACTATCGGATAGACACGCAGTTGATGAGTGATTGGTGGATCAGCGAAGCTGGTGGTTCCTAGCGCTCGTGAGACCAACCTGTGGGTATAGCTTGTTTCATGCGCGGCTCAGGAGGAGCCTTGTCAAACCGAAGATACAGAACTTTGCTAGATGGCGTTGCAGTGACTGGTACTGACTTTTCCATTCTTGCTCATGTCGTTATTCCTGAGGCAATGAGCTGCTTGCTCATCAGTCTTCCTGGCTTCTTTGTTGGTGGTGGCGAGCTGCCAGGGTCGGAAAAAGCGAGCGGTTTGCAGCAGACGTTTCGTTGCTTGCCGACTTCAGGTAGCCTTTCTGCTTGCCAGAACAGTTGCAGGACGAACCCAAAATTTGATATGCTCAATTGCCCAGAGGATAGAGCCAATCAGCGCCGTAGCTGCTGTTTAGGGTGGCTCGCCAAATATCAACTGAGAGACTGCATGACCTTGCAGTATCACTGAAGCTAGTTTTTACAATCGGCAAGCCAGGTTGGGAATGCCGACAGCTTGAGATCCGCGCCAACGACTTTGCGCGGCGTTTCCCACGACTTAGCCCCCGCCAGCGCTGGGGCCCTATTGTGTTAAATTGAGGTGTTGCAAAATGGTTTAAGCTCACTTCCAAACAGAGCTGCTTACGGTCAGCCATTTATGTGCCTTCCTCACGTACAAAATCTATTTACACCGAAAGCGGTTCAGCGTTCTCCATCCAGACAGTGACAATGGTTGTTTCTCGCACGACCGACTGGCTCTCTTAGCCGCTGTACGTAGAGGCGGTGAGTCTCATGTGGTACCATCTGTTGCCTCATCATGCACAGGAACAAGAACTGCCGTGGCTCAGTGGAGGTCCCTTCAACATCTTAAGAAGCCCATTCATGTACAGAACACGAACCATTTGGCATGTGTGAAACATGGGTTGCTAAATGCGCACAGTCACTGTCAAACTATTGCTTCAAACTTGCCATGGCATGCAACTTCCTGACATTGGATGCAGTGGAGCCAAAGCGGTGGAGCTTTGCAGAGGCCTGCCAAGAGAGACCAACAAACTGATTTGCGGAGCGTGTGCACTGCCACTGCCAAGCTGATAATGGTATATGTATGAGCTGAGAGTTTGAGCAGTGAAGCAGGGTTGACACGCACACGTACTTATGATTTCTCAACGCAAGCTGCATGCTTGCGACAATTTGCCGCATCTGGTCTCCCGTAAGCCTGTAAGCTATTAGCCGCATCTGCCACTGCAGCCTGGCTTGGAAATGCAGTGACTTAGAAACTTTCTTGCGAAGGTGAAGCTGTTCGAGGAAGCTTTAGCGGAAAGATCACAAGCCTCTTGGCTGTTTACAGTTTACACCTTGGTCACATTCATAGCTAGTATTAGCTAGTAGCTGTAGAGACCTCAAACTGTTAGGCCATGAGTTCTGCTGTCTCAAGGCTTACATGACTCCAGGCACCCAACGCTCCAATTTCACATTTGGTGGATGACATCGCTCGCGAGGCCACTGAAGCACGCTCAAAAACTCATGAACAAACGCTTGTAAACATTTGAGATTGACCTGTTCTACTCGAAGCAAATCGATTCCCTGGAAGGTGCGCAGCCAGTGCGTGGAATCCCCGACAGCTGGTCTTCGACTTGCCCGTCGAGCCGCGTGGCTAAGCGTAGTGGCTTCTTTGTTTTCGTTTCATGGGATCATATCTTAAAACTGAAATGGTGTCTCGGAGTCAGCTGCTGTATCACAGGAGGTTTTGTCCAGGGGTGTTAAATGGAACTTGGTTAGCCAATGGTCAACTTGAGTCCTTTGTTGGTGTTCGAGCGAAGACAGGTCTTGCAGCATGCCTGCAGCCATGATGCGCGGTCCTTCGCGCTGGATGTGCTTGGGGAGGTGGCCCTAGCCTATTGCTCAAAGATTTCTTGTGCCAACGACGGCAAGACATCGGAAGGATGTTCACCCTGTACACCGGCTCTAACTGCCACACTGCTTGTTTTTGAAGTGTCCTGCATTTCGCACATACATTGACAGATACCAGCGTCAGCAGCTGAGCTTTCACCTTCAGAATCCATCTGCATCTGCACTCAGAATCCTTGCACGGCATGCCCAGCCACTAAAGGCAATGCAGGCTGTGAAACCGCCTGCAGCTCTTTCAATTTTCGCCGGTACCCTGCACCTGGAACCCCAATGCCAACTATAGTCCAAACCCAGGCGTAGCCGTAACTTACCTTTGAGCAAAAACCTCTGTCGTGGTGCGTCGTTCTTGCATGGAAGCTAGTGCAGTAGATTCTGGCAGCAAAAGCAGATTGTAGCTTCCGAGCGGTTCCCTCGGAAGAGTTGTTGTGTAGCACATGCGCGCATGTGAGGATGAACATGTTTTCGACGGACCGCAGCTTGCCGGCTCCGTCGCTTTTCGCTTCCCTGCCTCCTTTGTGTCTTTCTCGTCGCTTCGACGACATGGCCTCGACACCCGTCTCGTCGATTGCCTCGTCTGCCACTAACGTGGCCGACGTTTTGGCGTCCCTCGGCAACGACGAGCTCGCGGCGGAGGTGGGGAGCTGGTCGGCGGAGCTGCAAGCTAAGGTGGTGGCGGCGGTATCCGCCCTTTCTTCGACGTCGACATCGACATCGGCGTCAACTCTGGTCCGGCGGCGCAAGAGCAACAAGCTCGACGCGGCCTCGTCTTCCACGGCGGCATCCTGGTTGGCCCCGGCGGTGGAGCCGGCTGACCTCTCGGCGGAGCTGACCGCGATCCAGGAGGGTGAGCACTCGCCGGCCGCAACCACCATTGCCGACGACGAGGTCATCAACTTCGGCGCCATGCAGACGCCGTTGGGCAACCCGCCCGTCGTCGTGGTGGACTTCAGCGCCGCTACCGGCCCGGACCCTGGCAGCGGCGCAGACGCAGGCGGCCACGGCGGCGCTGCAGGCGGCCACAGCCGCGCTGGCGGCACGACCTCGACGCCTACCACCAGTACGTCGACCGCTACGGCTTTCTTGGCGGCTGCTGGCGGCGATGGAGGCCCGACCTCGGCGCCTACTACCACGTCGCCTACGCCCACGCCGACGAAGGCCGGGTTCCTGGCGGCCTACGGCAGCGATGGGGGCCCAACAACGGCGCCGACTACACCGCCAGCGGCGCAGCCGTAAGGCTCCGCCCCCCCCCTTCAAGGAGGACAATATCGACGCTTCGTCTGCCTCGTCGCCCTACATCCCGGCACAGGTCATCATGGCGAAGCGCCCGCCGGCAGAGCTGCGGCTTCCCGGCCCAGAGCCGCACGAACAGGTCGACGACTATGCCGAAAGGTCGGCGACCGTCCTGGCGCAGCGGAGCAGTCTGACTGAGCTCCAGCGCCAAATCGCGGCGAAGATGTCCGACGCGGCGCAGGAGACCGGCAACTGGGGAAGGGCCGGCGATGGCGGCGGACTCGGCAACTTTCCGTCGCCCGAGGAGGCCAGGGCCAAGACGGCGCATCGACAGGATCGGCATAGACCGCTGCTGCTGACTGGTCCGGCGGCCGCGGCTGGTTCGGCGTCGTCCTCATCATCGACACCGCTCTCGGCCCCTTACAGCCACGGCGCTGCAGATCCCTCCGCCGCTTCAGGTCGTCAACGAGGAGGACAGCGGCGACGACCTGCCAGAAGGCTTCGATATGAGGCCGGAGCGGCGCGCGGCGCTCTTCGTGCCAGACATCGACTGGCTCGCCTACAAACGGCGGATGGAGGGCCGCGGCGCATGGTCCGTCGAAGAGCTCCCCGACGACCTGGAGCTCCTGGCAGTCCCCGACTCCGGCGCCCTGCAGCGGCTGTACGCCGGCGGCGGCGCCCCTCTGGTGCCATATTCCCTGGCGGCAAGTGCGTTCTTCATTCGGCGCTTGCCTCCCGACCAGCGCGGCGGGCGCATCCCGAAGAAGCACGCCGGCCGACGCGTCGCTGGGTGGTGCGGCGCCCGGTGCACCAAGACGCCAAACGCCGCTTGCGGCAATAATGGGATATGCCTTCGTCCCATTCTGCTCGGCGTCAGCAAGGGGCATACCGGGCATGCCTGCCCCACCGACCACGACCACCTGACCCATTTCGCCGGCAGGTGACCGTCGGCTCTTCGGCGTCCTCGGCGACTTCGGCGTCCTCGGCTTCATCGCGACGGGTGCCTTTGGTCGTGACTCCTGCCCTCCTTTAATTAGTTCGGCGTGGGCGATGCCCCACCCTCTTTTGTTCCGCCGCCCGGCGGTTTTACTCGGCGCACACGCGCCTGCACTTTGCTCGGCGGGGGCGTAAGCCCCCCGTCGTCTGCAGCCCTTAACCGGCTTGAGTGTTGCATGTAGCGCTATTTTGGCCAGCCTGCTCGGCGATGCCCGCCCGGCGCTAAGACGACCGGCGCACTTACGCAGTGCAACAGCGGCAAAGTCTGGCTCAGCAATCGGCGGTGCAAGCCCGACATGGCTTCTGACGCACCGGCATCGGTCAGGTGGTCGAAGCGGCGATCGCCGCCGGTTTGGCGGCAGCCCTGCCCGTGCTTGCCGAGGCCAGCGTCACCTGCATCGACGACATTCGCCGAGGCCCGGTGCTTGACGGCGTACCCCCCGAGCACCTGGTGCAGATCGTCGAGGCGAGTCAGGGGACGCGTCGGCCAACCAGTCACAGCTGGCTACCCAGCCGTGGCCACCCAGGCCCGACGCTCCTGTCAGGACTCGACAGCCTTGACGAGGGCATGCTCGCCAGATCGTCTGGAGTCCCGCCTGCGCGGTATGCGGCGGCCTGGGAGGTGGGCCCGTGGCCCATCACTTAAGAGACCCTGCAATCACCAGAAGGTCCACCTGCAGACGGCCGCAGGGTGGTCAAGTCCATCCCTGAAGCTCCAATATTCCTT